AGAGAGAGAGAGAGAGAGAGAGAGAGAGAGAGAGAGAGTCTATTAGGTGTCTAAGGTAGAATAATTAAGCACTAGTGGTTTCTTGTATGTCCACAGTGCCATATGTCCTTGACTTGAATATACTCTATAAATCCAGATGTACTGACAAATTTAAAATGTCTTTTAAACTTGAAAGCATAATTTTTGACATCTTGTTTTTAAGACAAATTGTCCTCTCCTTTTTAATTCAACATTTAATGTAAAAGAACTACTTTTCAATTACCTTGATTGTTAAATTTCACTGATATTTTAAAAATATCTGTATTATTAATATTATTTCATTTTTACTATGGGAACCAGGTGATAAGTGAGCTATTATTAGTATGTTTTCACAGTCATAATTATATTATGTATTGAACATAGTATTTGATATCGCCTCATGTGAATGTGAAGCTAATAAATAAGTTGTCTTTGTTACAGGTCTATGTGTCATGTGGAGAACCGTGGATTGATCCACACTTGACTATGGCTCAGCACAAAAAACGTCTCCTACTCAATAATTTAGCGTCAGATATATCTGCAATTCATGCCTACTGTATCATGCGTAACCCTGAAAGTAAGCATTTTGTTATTTTAGCTCATTACTGCACTTGGAAATTATTGTCTCAATGTGTCTTCATAATATTTTGGGGAAAATAGCTGCTTTTGTGTAAAAATGTCTGAGTGTTAAAATCAGTATTGCAGGTGTAGATGAGAGAAATAATTTCCACTTGTATATATAAGGATCTCAGAGCAATCAACAAACGTTAAATAAGAGAGTAGTAGTATGCCCATTTTAGAAATATGTAAATTGAGGTAGAATGAGGTTATATGGTTTGTGTAAGATCACAAAGCAAGTCAGTGGCACAGCCGGGATTAGAACCCAGTAGTCCTGTATTCCCAGTCCTCAATTCTATATACTGAGGTATACGCTCAGAATAACCATCTATAGAGAAAGACACAGATAATTTTACTTTTATTCATAGGAGTTTATGGACAATAAAGTCCATCATGAAAGAAAAATCAAAGTAATTCACATGCCCATCGAAAATTAGTGTAAGAAACTATTTTGCATATTGGCTAATCCTTTCTGCCCTCTCCAATACTGGAACTATTGATTGGATCACTACCAATAGAAGTAGCCTTTCTCCCACTCCACTTGAAAATATTGAGGTTCTCCCACCCACTTGCCCATCAGTGGTTTAATCTTTCTTTTCTAAGTTCCTAGTCATGTAAACCAGTGTTTTCTACAGTAGTCTCCATACGTGGCACATGTATTTGTACTTTCCGTCTCATTTGATTGCCAGTGTTTATGTAGGATATCCAGTTTGTGTGGATATTAACTTCCCCTGTAGGCATGATCTGCTTGCATAGTTGTGATTGTCTGAAATGTGTACTTGTTTCCGAATTTGGATACTAGCAAAGCTTTGGAAGTTGTGTATTGCTGCAGGAATTAGATCAGCATTGGTGGGGTTAAATTACAGGAGGGATTTGTGGAGTTTAGACAATATACTCACCATGCCATGCCACTAGGGGTTGGATCCAAAGGAAATCCAATATCTGCACAAAATTTGGAGGTATCCCATGGAGTACCATACATAGGATTACAGGCGTGTTCAGACCAGGACTGGCTGCCCTGTTCGTGACAGGGTCTTTAAGTTCAATGATAAAACTACAGCATCCTTGGCCACTTTAAACACTAAAGGGAAACCATCTTCATTGGTGTCTGCTCTTGGCAATACATATTTAATATTAATGTAAAGAAAGCCAAATATTAATAAATAAATAAAAATTAATTATTTATTATGATAAGACATCCATATAGGATTAACATCACGTAATAGAAATATATGTACTACTACATAGTGCATAAAGGTCATATTCTCCAAAGCCTTACCCATGCAAACAGTATGAGCCCTACCAATGATGCCTCACGTGATTAAGAGTTTGCAGGAATAGGTTCTAAACAATAGAAGGATATAGTTATAGTTAATAACTATAGATCAGGAACCAACTGGTATCTAATTAATAATCAAGAATTGTCATACCTTATTAAACAGAAAGCTAAGCATACTTTACATACAGTGTAATAACATCTCGCAAAAAGTGTACAGAAGTTATTAGCAAATAACATGTCTTTGAAAAAAGTAATTTTAACATATATCTAAAACACCAGTCTATAAGGTAAGCCTTCTGTGTGTATTAACTTTCTCAAGTATTCCCTTTCAGGGTGGTGTGGAACTGATGCATGTCCCCCTGGCTCGGACCAACCTCTTCCCCAAACATAGATCCATCATACTGCAGAGGTGACTAATCCTTCTCTGCTAATTCATAAAGCAGCCCAAAGTTCTGACTTTTAAAGATTTAGTTCATTTTTTCAGATAAAAATATTACCCATTTCTCAGGATCAACCCCTGCATCAGCTCTGAAACACAGGGCCCTATGTTAAATAAAGAGCAGTATCCACATTAGTAGTTTGCTATTGTGTTTACATAAGGCCAACAGGGTCTCAAACCTGCAGAGCTGGTAGGCAGTAGACCACACCATACTACCACCCAGCAGCAACTGTAAGTAGTTTGTGCTCCACTACTCATGACCATCTGAGGGCACAGACCATGGGAAGTCCCACTTCAAGAGGTCAAACAGGCAGCAACCTCATGGCTCCTGGTAGACTCCCTGCCCTATATAAACCTAAGGGGCATTCAGGCAGTGTCCAGGCAACAGGGTGTATTTCCTATAGCTGCCATGACTGGTCCTGGTCCCTGTTCTTGAATGCCTGGCTTTGACCTTGCCTCCTAACCAGACCCTGAAATGTGACTTGGACTCTGATCCTTGGTATATACCCCTGCCTGGAACTTGACTACAGATTCCTCTTCTACTGTTAGCCTCAGGTTTGATCCTCCTCTGACCCAGTCCCAGCTGCCCAAGTCAGGATGCTGACATTTCAGAGCCAAAAATATTTAGACATTAAGCAAATACATAGTATGTTCCAAATCTTTATTTATTTTTAAATATTGATAAAAATAAGTTGATAGGCTGAAAGGGGAACTAATAACTCGTGCAATATGTATGATGTATAGATGTTCTATGTGGCATAAAGCAACAGAGGGTCCTGTGGCACCTTGCATCTGAAGAAGTGAGGTTCTTACCCACAAAAGCTTATGCTCCCAATACTTCTGTTAGTCTTAAGGGTGCCACAGGACCCTCTGGGACTGCAGGAAAATGGGGATCCTTGTACTCTGCCATAATGAATATGCCTTTTTTCCTTTTATAAAAATAACTCTCATCTGTGGGAAAAAATGTTTCACTGTATGAATGAGGGTAAGTCTCTGTTTTACAATATAGAGGAGAAATAGTTACTAAAAAGTAATCTTAATACCTATGAACCATTGAAGTAGTAAACAGAGTGGTGAATTGAGTGCTTAACGCAAAAGAACTGGAAGCTAAAAGATCAGAATTCTACTCTCAGTTGTGCCACTGTCTTGCAGTGTGAATTTGGACAAGTCACTTCATCTGCCTGTGGCTTGGTTCCCTATCTGTGAAATAAATACTTATTTCCCTCACAGGTATTGTGTGAGACTTAACTGATTAATGTTTCTAAATTATTTGAGATCCTTGGGTGGAAGGTGCTACAGAAGTGCTACGCCCTTGATGCATGTGGAACTCTCATTATCAGTAAAGAAACCAATAGATAGACAATGCTTTACAGAGTTAAGGATACAGTTACAAAGTTATAATGAAAAAGTATAGCAGAGAGAGACAAATTAAGAGACAGTGGGATGGGGTCTACAAATCTGCACACAAAATACAGGCAGGAAGGGGTTAAGAATCCTCCCAGTCTGCCCACACCAAAACTAGCCACACTCTGGCTCAACTGTGAGAAATGGAAAGAGACACCCCCAGCTGCTGTAGCTAATGGGGGCAAGCCCAAGTATAAAAAGGGAAGAAGCAGAAGCAAGGGGTAGAAGAGGTTTAAGGAAACAATAAAAATCTGCCAGAGGAGCTCACATCAGGCTGCCTCTGTGAGACTTATACAGTAACTCCTCACCTAACGTTGTAGTTATGTTCCTGAAAAATGCAACTTTAAGCGAAACGATGTTAAGCGAATCTAATTTCCCCATAAGAATTAATGTAAATGGGTGTGTATATATGTACACACACATACACAGAGTATAAGTTTTAAACAAACAATTTAATACTGGTACACAGTGATGATGATTGTGAAGCTTGGTTGAGGTGGAGGAGTCAGAGGGTGGGATATTTCCATTACTGCTAAATGATGAACTAGCAACTGGCTGAGCCCTCAAGGGTTAACTCTCTCACTCTGCAAGGCAGCAGGAATGGAGGGAGAGGAGACATCGCAGACAGAGACACACAGGATATGTGTGTGAGAGAGAGATGCACATTTCCCTTTTAAGTACATTGCCTTGTTAATTAGATCAGCTTGCTGAGACCGCAGCTGCTGCAAGCTCCCTCCGTCCTGAGCCCTGGTATGTCCCCTGCTCTATGGAAGATGGGGTAAGCGGGGTGCAGGAGCAGGGTGGAGGGGGACACCCTGACATTAGCCCCCCTCTTCCTTCCCTCCCCCCGACACAGCAAGCAGGAGTCTTGGGGAGCAGCTCCAAGGAAGAGGGCAGGAGCAGCACATGGCAGTGGGGGGAGGGACAGTTGAACTGCAGGCAGCTGCTGCACAAGGAACTTAGGGGAGCGGGGAGCTGATAGGGGGCTGCCGGTCCACCCTGGTTCCAAGCCCCCACAGCTAGCTGCAACGGGCTGCTCTTCCTGCAAGCAGTTGACAAAGCAGATGGCTGCCAAACGACCTTAGAAGGGAGCATTGCACAACTATAAACGAGCATGTTCCTTAATTGATCAGCAAGGTAACAACGAAACAACATTAACCGGGTGCAAGTAATGGAAATTTCCAGAGGCAGGTATAAATCAGTATGGAGATAACGAGGTTAGTTCAATCAGGGAGGGTGAGGTGCTCTGCTAGCAGTTGAGGTGTGAACACCAAGGGAGGAGAAACTGCTTCGGTAGTTGGATAGCCATTCACAGTCTTTGTTGAATCCTGATCTGATGGTGTCAAATTTGCAAATGAACTGGAGCTCAGTCTGGTCCTGAAGTTTTTTTGCTGTAAGATGGCTACTTTTACATCTGCTAT